GTGTGTGTGTGTGTGTGTGTGTGTGTGTGTGTGTGTGTGTGTGTGTGAGACAGAGCTTAGAGAGAGAGTCTTGCTATGTGGCACCGTTTCTGTCCTTATTTTTCTATTTCAATAGTCATCAGATTCATTCATTCATTCATTCATTCATTCATTCTCTAAATCATATTTCTCCCCCATGCCCATGTGTGTATTATTCTTGAATGATAATATCATTTCCTGCTTTACTGAGAAAACTGAAGCAAAAAGGACTTTTGAGATTACTGGCAGTGCCCACCTACCTTATTCTAACGAGAGGAGCCAGCTACCTTTCTATGTAAAGGCCAGGGAAGGTGCTTTGCATCAAATCCCATCTCTGTCCTTGCACAGTGACAGCCCTTTCCTCTTTCTCTTCTGCATCATCTTATAAATATTCAGTCTTCCAGGTCACTTGGCACATCATAGACATGCTGGTATTTATGTAAGCCATTTTCAGTCTTTCTCTTAATCCTACATTTCCTTCCAACTGTTTGATTCCTCTGCTCCCTTTTACAAGAACACTCTTCAAAAATTCCCCCAAATTCCATCAGCTCTAGAGTCTTGTCCTTGTTCTCTTTCAAACTCACTCTACTCAAACAGAAAGACTAATAATAAATTGCTGAATTAAATGTGAGATGGTTTTGTAGGCAGGAATAGAAATCTGAAGCAACTGTCAGAGACAGTAACTTAGGCCTCCTCCATGGGGAATGAGCTCATTCTAAAAGCATGCTGCTGTAGGAGTCGTCAACTTACGTCACTGAGGAAGAGCTGGGAATGTGTGGCTCTTGGGGGTGATAATCATCAAAGCTAAGTGTGGCCTCGTGTATCTACAGTCCCACCACTAAGAAGGCTTAGGCAGGTGAGCATCAAACAGCAAGTGTAAGGTCACCCTTGGAATCCCAATCACCCAAACAAATTGCAATTAAACCAAAGCCATCAATGAGGGCACTTTTCCCAAGGTTCATGATTTGGAGTACAGCATCCTGGTGGAATAATGAAACTAGCAGTAACAGTTTGAAAGGAATAGCTAATAAAAGTCTCAACTCTGCAATTGAAAAATCAGAAAATCTCTAACATAGTTTAAACAAAAGATAGCAACATTTACAGAAATAATAGGTCCATTACGTTCAGCCTGGGGGTGGGGTGTGTCTGTCTTCAACATGCCTCTCTGGGATGATACTTTCATCACTACATTAAAAATTCACTGATGAGAGCCAGCAGGTGGCATAGAAGGCAAAGACACTTGCTACTAAGCACAATGACCAAAGATCAATTACTAGGACCCATATGTTAGAAGAGAATCAACACCTACAAGTTACTCTCTGACCTCTACACATCCTCTATGATATCATCACATGCACACCTAACCAAATAAACATTTTTAAATGAATTGATTGGAACTATGGAATTGGCTCAGCTGTTAAGAGTGCTTGCTGTGTAATCATGAAAATTGGAGTTTGAATTGCAGCATTTATGTAACAAATTGAACGTCTCATGCATGCCTATAACCCCCACACTGAGAGGGGCCAGAGTCTCAAGAGGATGACTGGGGATAGCTGGCTTCCCGTCCTACCAAGAAAATGAGTTTCACACTCAGGGAGAGACCGTGGCTCAAAGAAGTAGGCACAGGGCCTACTGGCCTCTTCTGGCCTCCATATACATAGGTAAATGTGTGTACCTACAATAAGTATGCATGCACTTGCACAGACACATATACCAATACATACATACATACATACATACATATTTATTTATTTATTTATTTATTTATTTATTTATTTATTTATTTATTTTGAAATCGCTTAGTAGCTATGGCTGACATCTAATAAACACTTTGGTGAACCAGACACAAAGAAGACATAATAATAAACAAATGACTTAAATCTGAAGACTCTGTAGGTCAGACAGACTGGTAGGTGTGACTGAACTGGAAATGGCTACCCTAACTTAGGAAGACAACAGTGAGCTCAAGGCCAGCAGGCACAGCTTCACTGTTAGAGAGAATGTGGTACAACTTCCAGGGTAAGCTAGAGGGACGAGAGGGAACCAGACTTCTCTGACCTGCTGTGCTCCGCGAGAGCACCACAATCATGAGACTGAGATTCTCAAGACATACACGAGGAGAAAGAAATCTCCGCCTGGGAGGCAGAAACATAGGGGACCAAAGCATGCCTTATGCCTAATACTCAGCCTGAAGTCAATGCAGAGACTGAGAGTCCTCTGAGGAGCATATATTGGAAGTTTTTCTTTTTTCTTCTTCTGTATTGATTCCTTTAATTTTTCAATTTTGAACACACACATATAAAATATACTTTTATTATATTTCTCCTCGTTATCCTCTTTCCCCTTCCCACCCTCTACCAAATTCTTTCTTTCTTCCTTCTCCTGGCTATTTTCACCTCTCTCTCTCTCTCTCTCTCTCTCTCTCTCTCTCTCTCTCTCTCTC